CCCCCAATTCCCCAATAAAAATCTTAAAAAAAAAAAATATATATATATATATATATATATATATATATATATATAAAAGAATAAAAGGCTTAGTAAAGCTACCTGGGAGCCATCCCAAACCTGTTTCTTCTCCCATGACCCAGGCAACCACCAAGGGAGGTTCTGACACCTGAGTGGGTCTGGGGACGAAGAGGACCACACTACCGGTTCCAGCTCCGGCGGTGTTTCCACAGCCGGCCTTTTCCAGCTCAGATCCCAGTGGGGCGCCTGTGGCCGCAGCACCCGCTCAGGGCTGGCCAAGTGACATTAGGAGTACCCTCTGCACTTTCCTCCCACTCTCAAGCCTTGAAGCAAATTCTGGAGCCCAACCCTTTCCGGGCCGATCCAGGACTCCATTTCGTTGGGATGGCCACGCCCTCGCCACACGCTAAGCCACGCCCTGCAGGCCCTTCCCTAGATCCACATGTCAGTCCGCACCACCATAACCACACCCCTCTCAAGAGTCCCGCCCCATCGTCTCTCAGTGTAAGGCTGGCCCCGCCTCTGCAGTTCCAGGCCACACCCTCAGGCCCGCTTCACCACCTATCAAACTCACCATGGCCCCACCCCTCCATCCTCCGTTCTTCGTTCTCTCTCGCTCGCCTTGGCGCGGCCCGTTGTTATGACGACACGGTCGTAAATCCGCCATCTTCCTGCGGCGCGTTGCGACATGGAAGGCGCGATGGCAGTGCGGGTGACGGCCGCGCATACGGCAGAAGCCCGGGCCGAAGCCAGGCGGGAAGCGGGCGAGGGCGGGGTCGCGGCGACGGCGGCAGCGTTGGCCCCCGGCAGCTTCCTCGGCCTCCCCGCGTCCTTTAGCGAGGAAGGTAACAGGGCCGGACCGGGCGGGGCGCGGCCAGTGTGGGGACAGCTTAGCCCGAGCTGGCAAAGGCTCGGATGGTCTGAGCTGCGGGCGCGTCTGGCTCTCCCAGACCCGGATTCCTTGCTGACCTTCGAGGTCCTCACGGGACCTGTCAAAGCCCTCCACGAGTCCCCGGTTTCCTCTGACCCTTGGGCCTCTCCTGTGGGGTGCCCATTATCCCCGTGGGTTCCTGTGCTCACTCAGATGCCCAAACCTCAGGGACTGTCCGTGTAGACCGCCGCGTACGCCCCCACTGCTAGCCCTGCCTTCTCAGGCTCGCGGCCCGGCCCCCTCTGCCTCCTTGGTTGGTGACGGCCCTGCCCTTCTCTGGGCCCCCTCCCACTGCACCTGACGGGCCGCTAGGGCCCTAACCAGGGTGGGTGTGGCTGGGGGCTTCAGGAGGACGGGGCCTCGGGTTTCTACAGGCTCTGGGCTGGCCTTTGGGGAGGAGAGCTGGTGCACTGCAGCCAGCCTGCGGGTTCTGTCCCAGACCTGCCACTTTATAGCTATTTGGTGCTGAGCAGGTGGCCACATACCTCTCTGAGCCCCCGTTTCCCATTACAAAATGGGGATCCTGCCGCTGATAATAATGTATTGACCACTTACCTGCATCAGCTTGTTTCATCCTCAAATCAACCCCGGATGCTACTGTTAATTATTATTCCCATTTTGTGGATGAGGAATATTGAGGTTAAAAAAAATGTGAATGTGATCAGGTCACCCAGCTAGTAAGTAGCCAGACTGGATTGGGTGTCAAGACTGTGACTCCTCAACACACTCCCTTAACTTCTGCGTTCTGCCACCTCATAGTACGGTGGTGAGAATGAAAATACAGCATGTATGTAAATCGATGACAACAGTCCTGGGCTCATTCACAGGGACACTGATAACTTTGGAGATAGAACTTGAGTCTCTGCCCTCTGAGCTTGTGTCATGAGGCTGTAGACTGGGCCAGACAGGAGGGGGTTGGCTTGATATTGGGGTGGTGGTCTTTGTCCCCACAACATTCATATTCTTGGTACATTTTTTTCTTGCTCCCTATTACAGCTTGGGGAGGGGCAGTTCCACTGGGGGCAGGGCCAACCTGAAGAAGGGTCTCTTTGCAGGTTGCTGGGCATGCCCATGTTCTCTCTCAATGTCACATGGGCTGGGTGTGTCCCCTTCTGTGGTAAGAGTTTCTTCAGTGGCAACACCCTGGTGCCAAGTCAGACTCAGTGAGTGGGCTGTGAGGCGTAAGAGGGTGGCCGACACCTCAGTGCTTGGCTTGCGACTGTGAGCCATCTTGAAGAGACTGCCCTCTGTCAGGTGGCCTGTGGGCGAGTCATGGCTGTGGTTTGGCCCTTTGTTTGCTCATTAACTCAATAGACATTTACCATGTTCCTTCTGTGTGCTAGGCCTGGGTTTGACCTTGATGGGGGACAGCATGTGAAGGAACACCTCCCCACCCCTTTATATAAACAGCAGGACATCGGGATTAGACCCTCAGGTTCAGGCTCTGACCCCAGTGCTCACCAGTTGGATGGCCTTGAATCTCAAGTTGTTTTCCTGAAGTGGGATTAGTCACCTCCATTTCCCCAGGCCGGATTTGCTGATGTTTCTAGTGAGGTGCCTGGCACGTGGTAGGGATTCAGTGAGCAGGAGGTCTCTCCTGCAGGACTTGGGGCAGATACTGACTGGCTAGTCAGCCCAGGTGCAATGGCCCTGAGTCATGGAGCCCCTCTGAAAAGTTCCACCCTGGGCATCTACGCCACAGCAGAGGGGTGCCGCCTGTTTGGAACCAAGGACACACTATGTGAGAAAAGAGTGGTCATGGGTCAGGGTGCCCCCTCTCCTGTGTTTGCCAAGGGCTGGCCTCTCAGCCAGAGCCCTGTGGGCACCAGTACTCTTCTCCCCCCACTGTATGCTGCACACGTGCCCTGAGTCAGCCCATTTTACAGATGAGGGAACAGACCCATACATGGCCACTGAGGTGCCCAAGGGCACATGCAAACCCCATAAACCCTGGTCCTCCATTGTCCCCAAACCAGCTTGGGCAAATTCCTCTGTCTCCTAGCTGCTCCCTGGGCCTCCCTCCCCTCATCTCTGAGGTGGGGGTTTTGGGCACTACAGTCTCAGTGGATCCCTGCAGCCTAAGTATGGTTAGGCTGGATGCTGCTCTCCCTGGGGTGGGCACCACTTCTGCAGACCTCCAGAGGGTGAGGCCTGTGCCCCTGAGAGTGTTCCCGGCCCCTCTGGGAGGGCCGAGGAAAGTGCCGCTGGTTCTGAGGCCACCCTTGGGATGGATTTGGCCTGGGCCTGGAGGCCCTGCCAAGTCCCACTGACTGCAGGCTAGTTACAGATGAGGACGACGTGCACAGATGCGGCCGCTGCCAGGCGGAGTTCACCGCCCTGGAGGACTTCGTTCAGCACAAACTCCAGAAGGTCTGCCAGCGGGCTCCTCAGGAGGCCCTGCCTGCCACCTCTGCAGCTGCTGCGCTGCTGGGCCAGGAGGTGAGGCCCCCCCACCGACAGCGAACACACACACACACACACACACACACACACACACGCATACACATGTGTTCAGCCTCCTCCTTGGGCTCACCTGACAGCAGGGGGAGGAGGAGGTGGCGTGCTGGGACAGACGTGTACACCTGCTTTCCTGTGACATGGGGGCGGGCAGAGGACAGGTATCTGGTTGTGGGTGAGGAAGGGTCTGGCCCTGCCACCAAGAGCCTTGTGGTGCTCTCAGGTTTCCTGGATAGACCAGCCTTCTCAGCAGCCTCTGGCCAAGGCCTGTGCAGCTGGGGCCTGGGGTCCCTGTTTTCTTGGAGCCCAGGGTTCTATCCTGGTTCAGGAGTATCATGGTGGCTTTTGTGCTTTTGGCCTGTCCCTTGTCCTGTACACATAGTTCCTGGGGATCCCACAAACAAAGCATGTCTCTGTGGGTCTCACCACCATGTCATGAAAAGGGCCAACTTTGTTGTGCCCCATGCTGTACACACACAGTTAAGGTCCTTAGCGCCCCTGCATGATGAGCTTGTGACCCTCCCTGTAGAGAAGTGGGAAAGGAGGCTCCGAGAGAAGCCAGTTGCCTCAGGTCACCACAGGGAGTGGCCCAGAGGATAGTGGGTCCAGAGATGTCTCACTCTGACCCTTCCAGAGGTGCATTCTCCTCCAGGAATGTCCCCAGCCCCACACCCCCACGCCCTTTCCCCTGACTCTTGGTTGGGGCTGGTGGGTTTAGCTGCTCACCTTCATCCATGCACAGCTGACCGGAGCTCTCGTCACTTCCTCCTGGAGTCCTCCCCAAGGGCACTTGGTGCTCTGTGCTCCTCAGTAACCAGAGACATTAGGGCGAGGGGGCTGACCCCCTGGGCCAGGCTGGGAGTCGGGTTCAGAGTGGTGGTTCTGTTGGCAAAGCTGAGAGCCCCCATCCCAGCCATTGTGCATGGACATAAACCCAAGCCCGTGCTCACCAAGCCAACGGAGCTCTGGAGCCCTCCAGATGAGTCCCCTCTGTCCCTTGTCCCACATTGGTAGGTGGTCCCGGCGGCAGCAGGCCCAGAGGAGCCCATCACTGTGGCCCACATCGTTGTAGAGGCAGCTGCTCTAACGGCAGACATCAGCCACACGCCTGATATCGTTGGTAAGCTGACATGGCCCCACTGGAGCTGTCTACTGGTGGCTCTCAAAAGTGAGGTGTCGCTGACCTGATGGCCATCTGTGTTCAGGGCTGGAGGCTGGGGACCTCTGCTACCCATGCCCTTCTGCACTCCTGAGATCAGAGTTTGGCCTTGGAGGGGCTGAGGCCTCATGCCTACCTTCCCCAGGGAAGGACCGCAGGAGGATCTGGCATTGAGCACCAGGCCCTGCCCTGCTAGGAAAGGGGACGCACGTGGCCTGTGTGTGGCCTTGGGCAGCCCTAGGGTACACCTGGGCCTTGAGGAGTCCCCACTTTGTGCATAATCATGAGCTGGCTACTCTCCTGCTGCTTCCCTCGATTGTTTCTGACCTGGTCCTTCTGGAATCTTCCCCACTTTTCTGCCACCCCCTTGCTTCCTGCTCCCCGCCCCACAGTTGGCTCTGGAGGTTTGGGGTGGGGCGTGTATGGGATGCACCTGCTCCTCCAGCTTGGCCCTGACCTGCTGTCTGACCTTGGCCTTCACCTCCTCAGCGCTTACTCCCTCGTGTGTGGATGTGGCAATTCCTGCCCTAATTCTCACAAGGCTTTTATGAGCATACAACGCCAAGTCAGCTTCTTTGATGGCTTTTTAAAAGTTAAAGTGCCTTCTAATATGCAGTATGGGAGGGGGTTTTGAGAGGTCTGAATTGGGTCACACATTCATTAATTGGGGATAAGCCAGCGTGCATAGGGAAGGGGCACACTCAAAGGGCAGCCCGGGGCCGGGGCAGGTGGAAGGAGCCAGGGGCTGGGTGTGCACACAGCAGTGGAGGGCGGCTGGGTTGGGCCTGACGCACTGGGAAGTTGGGAAGGGAATGGTGGTTACCTGGGTAGTGGCCTTGGCAGGTGTATGAGTCGGCTGGGCAGATGGACAGGAAGCAGTTTTGGGCAATAGGTAGAACTTGGCCTTGGGAAACCTTGGGGACCAGCTGGGGCAGGGAGCAGGGGTGGAGGAAGCCTGGGGGAGGGGAACCTTAGAGTAGGCTTTTCTGCCAAGGTCCCACCTCAGGGAGGCATCTGGACACCTGTCCTTGTCTCCATGTTGTTTTAACCCCTGACATTCCTGTGGACCTGGTGCCACTCTGGAATAGGAATGTTGTCATGTGGGAGGTGCGGCCGTGCTCCAGGCCTGGCGTGGCGTTTGGTTTCTGGGGTGGGTGGTGTCATATAGGAAAACAGGTTTCCTGGGTTTGGACTGCATCTCCAGGCTCCAGACCCCTGGCCAGCCAGGCCCCTTCCCACCACCCCCACCTCCAACTGGCTCACATCTGTGGCTCAACAGCTCGGGGGGCTCTTCTCTGAGGACCCCTGCTTCTCTCATACCCTTGGAAGTTTCCCCCTTTGCAGGCATCCTGGGTGCCCCAAAGTGCTCTTGGTGTTAGCTGCTCAGTGGTCCAAGGGCCCAGGGTTGGCCAGAGTCCTAAACTGCCAGTTGCCAGTGTCCTAGGGCTAGGGGTTCTCCATCCTCGCTGGGCTGAGGACATGGTCAGCGGGGGCTGCTGGGACTGCGTGGGGGCTGGATACTCACTCCTGCCTCTTCTCGGGAAACAAACTTGGATTTCGCTTATTCCCCCTTCCCTGACCCCTTGGTCTACTGTGCCACACTTGAACTCAAGCCCCTGCCCTTTTGGAAGTTCCCTGCTGGGGCGGAGGAAAGATAAAGGGTCAGGCATGCCAGTCAGCTCAGATGAGAGAGGCCCTGAATTGTTGCTGAGTCAGGCACTTCCATTCTGTTTAGAGAGAATGGCTTGTCAAAACATGATGCCATCCTGATGGAGAAGCCTTCTAAAAAGTGGCTTCACAAGCATTTCCCACTGTCATTTTTATGAGCAGAAATTGTGAAGTGTGTTTACAGCTTAGCGTTGCACATTGTCAGACTTCCTCGACACCCACAAGAGGTGCAAAAGCCCAACTTCCTTCCTCAGACTGTCCCAGGTGTCTCGAGCATTCATGTTCCCAGACCAGGTCCCTCACCTGCCTGCTGCAAAACAGGTGCCAGAGGGCAACCCTGGAGACATTTCCACCTTACGTTAGTGGAGGTCAGGGCAGTGAGCAGGCCAGATGGCAGTGAGATAGGCTGGCTCATCCCCTGTCTCTGCGCCAAGCAGTCTTGTTGCCCTTAGCGGTAGCAGGACCCCTCTAGTTCTGTGCTCCTCTTGGCTTCGGGGAGGGGGCATGAGCTCACCATGGTCTCCCCATTGGACACTTCCCAGTGGCCTGGAGCGTCTCTGGGCAGCTCCACCATTCGCCAGCAGTGTCCCTGGTCTGGGATCCCAGGAGGCCGCAGGGCCCACAGCACCCCGAGGCTCAGGCTGACCCACTTCTCTTTAGGCAGTGGACACATCAAAGAGGTCATTGTGGCTGCTGAGACAGAAGCAGGCGACAGCGAGATGGCAGAGGCCCTAGGCAGCCCTGACCGTCAGGGCCCTGGGCTGGCTGGGCAAGGTGAGCAGGCGCAGGTCAAGCTGCTGGTGAACGAGGATGGCCGCTACGTGTGTGCGCTGTGTCACAAGACCTTTAAGACGGTGAGCCCGCGACCTCGGGCTGTGCCAGCTAAGGGGCCCAGGCCTCCTGCCTAGGGAGGTTCCTGAGCCACGCTGCCCACCCCTCCCACCACAGGGCAGCATCCTCAAGGCTCACATGGTCACCCACAGCAGTCGCAAGGACCATGAGTGCAAGCTGTGCGGGGTCTCCTTCCGGACCAAGGGCTCACTCATCCGGCACCACCGGCGCCACACAGGTGAGCGGCCTGAGGCCTGAGACACTTCTGCTTCCTGGCAGGGGGTGTGCAGCGAGCCTGTGGCTCCAGGCCTCCCTTCCAGACCTGAGGCTGACTCCATTCTCTGCATAGATGAGCGCCCCTATAAATGTGCCAAGTGTGGGAAGAGCTTCCGGGAGTCTGGTGCCCTGACCCGGCACCTCAAGTCTCTCACCCCATGCACAGAAAAAATCCGCTTCAGCATGAGCAAGGACGTGGTGGTCGGCAAAGAGGACACGCCTGCAGGTCAGCATGGTGCGGGCTCCCTGCCCCAGCCCTGGAGCTGCCCTGGCCAGAGGGTTTTCTTCAAGGACTGTCTTGGTTCTGCCTTAAAGGGTCTGGTGCCTCCACCGTGGGGACTGTTACATCATCATCAGCGACAGGCGAGTCCATGGAGACGTCGCCTGTGATTCACCTGGTGACAGATGCCAAGGGCACCATCATTCATGAAGTCCATGTCCAGATGCAAGAGCTTCCCCTGGGCATGAAAGCCCTGGCCCCTGAGGTGGGGGCTGGCTGGGGGGATGGCCTCTCTGCTTAATGCCAGGCTCTCTTTTGGGCACTGGCTCCAGTGGGAAATGGACTAACCAGGGCCTGCCTTCCTGGTGCTTGGCTGGTTGCAGGGGTGTTGGGAGACCAATGGCTGCCAGAAGGGGGGGAGGGGCATGGTGGGGCGGGTGAGGCGAGGGCATATAGAGCGGGCCGTGGGCCTCCCACGGGCCATTCCTGAGTGTGCACAGTGGTCCCGGGCCACTTGGGTCTGCCCTGTACGGTGGGTGCAGGTGGGTGCCACGTGCCAAGCCACCTGGCCAACCTCCCTCCCTCCGCCGCCTCCGCAGCCTCCGGGCCCTGAGGAGCTTCCCTGTTCCAGTGAGGACAGTCGGGAGAACCTGCTGCATCAGGCCATGCAGAACTCCGGCATTGTTCTCGAGCGGGTCGCTGGGGAGGAGGGGACCCTGGAGCCAGCCCCTCCTGCCACATCCAGTCCCCAGCCCCTGGGAGATGGTCCCCCAGAACTGCCGCTACTGGAGGTGGAGCAGGTGGAGACAGTAGGTGTCTACACTGCTGGCGTGCTCCTTCCTGGGGGCTGAACCTCGGGTATCAGGTCACTACACTGGCCCGGCCTCCGGCCTCCTTGCTGTTCTCCCTGTGGTCACTTTGTCCCCTGAACTGTTTACCCCTGGGCCCCAGATGGATAGCCTGCCAAGGTGGCAGTGCTTTGGGTCTCTGTCCTTGGTACTGCTGGGGCCTGGGCTGCGGTGGGTTCTGGAGGTGTGCTATGGTCTCCCAGCAGGTGGCCAGTGAGGCCTCAGCTGTGCCCAGGACCCACTTGTGCCCTCAGTGCAGTGAGACCTTCCCAACGGCAGCTACCCTGGAGGCCCACAAAAGGGGCCATGCAGGTGGGTGGCAGGAGGGTGGGGTACTGGGCAGTGGATGGCCTGTGGGTGACCAGAATGCCTCCTTGGGCAGTGGGCAGGCAGCAGGCTGTTAGGGTGGGGCCCTTGGGGTGGGGGTGAACCTGGCTTGACTGTGTGTGCGGCCTCAGGGCCGAAGCTGTTCACATGTGCGCAGTGTGGCAAGGCCTTCCCCAAGGCCTACCTGCTCAAGAAGCACCAGAAAGTGCATGTGCACGAGCGCCGCTTCCGCTGTGGGGACTGTGGGAAGCTCTACAAGACCATTGCCCATGTCCGTGGCCACCGGCGCGTCCACTCAGATGAGCGACCCTACCCCTGTCCTGAGTGCGGCAAGCGCTACAAGACCAAGGTGGGCCCTTTGGCCCTGGCCCTTGGCCTCTGATCCCCCACCCACTGGCTCCCCATCCCTGGGCCAGAGTCATCTCTTGTTCCTGCCCCAGCTCTCATCACCCCCTGGTCCCCAGCCTGCTCGGTCTTGGCTTGGCCCCTCCCCCCTGGCCCATGAATCCCACCCCCGCCCTGGTGCCTAGAGGGCAGCTGGGGGAAGCCTCAGGGCAGGCCAACTTGGCCCTGATGGTGGGTTTCCACAGAATGCCCAGCAGGTGCACTTCCGGACACACCTGGAGGAGAAGCCGCACGTGTGCCCGTTTTGCAGCCGAGGCTTTCGGGAGAAGGGCTCACTTGTGCGGCACGTGCGGCACCACACGGGGGAGAAGCCCTTCAAGTGCTACAAGTGTGGCCGTGGCTTCGCTGAGCATGGCACGCTCAACCGGCACCTGCGCACCAAAGGTGGGGGCTGGTGGGAGGGGGCGAGGTATGGTAGGCCGCCAGTCCTGCCCAGCCCTGACCAACCCCCCCACCCCCACCACAGGGGGCTGCCTGCTGGAGGTGGAGGAGCTGCTATTGTCTGAAGAGAGCCCCACAGCAGCCACTACTGTCCTTGCCGAGGACCCGCACACCGTGTTGGTTGAGTTCTCATCCGTGGTGGCCGACACCCAGGAGTACATCATTGAGGTGGTTGTAGGGCCGCTGGGGCTGGGACGGGGCCCAGGGGTAGGCAAGGCTAACCTCTGACTCTGTCTAGGCCACCGAGGATGACACAGAGATTAGCGAAGCCACAGAGATCATCGAGGGCACCCAGACAGAGGTGAGGAGCTGGGGGAGGGGTGGGGAGGGGCAGCCTGGCACCCTCACCCAGACTTGTGGGCTGAGCCGTGAGCCCCCCACAGGTGGACAGCCACATCATGAAGGTAGTGCAGCAAATTGTGCACCAGGCCAGCGCAGGGCACCAGATCATCGTACAGAACGTGACCATGGACCAGGAGGCGGGGCTAAGTCCAGAGGCGGCTGCTGCCGACACCATTACCATCGCCACCCCTGAGAGCCTGACGGAGCAGGTGGCCATGACTCTGGCCTCAGCCATCAGCGAGGGCACTGTGCTTACAGCCCGTGCAGGTGCAAATGGCACCGAGCAGGCCACTGTGACCATGGTTTCATCGGAGGACATTGAGATCCTGGAGCACACGGGCGAGCTGGTCATCGCCTCACCAGAGGGCCAGCTCGAGGTGCAGACGGTCATCGTCTAGCGTGAGCACCTCTAGGGTCCTGCTGGGCTGGGCTGGGTCAGGGGCAAGGACCTGGAGCACCATACTCACACCTGTCCGGCCTGGTACAGAGAAGATGGGGCACAGAATTCAGATGTTCAGAGCTATGGGAATGTAAATAAGATTTTTGTTGCTTTACAATAAAACATGAAAACCCACCACTTGTGATGTTGCGGCAGTGGCAACCTTGGGTACTGGCACCACTGCCCTGGCAGGATCCCTCTATACTCATGCCTGGCCATCCGCCCAGTGCTCCTGATGGGGCTGGCGGCACCTTGGCGGTGTGTGGGTGTCACTGGCATGTGGACGGGCAACCTCCTGCTGCCCTGCCCACCAGGAGCCGTGGCCCCAGCTTCCTGAGGCCCACCAAAGTGCCCTGGGGCAGGAGACTGAGGCTGGGGGGCCAGGGGCCCCTGACGACATGCAAGGAAAGCAGCAGGAGACACAGGGAAATGAGTGGGGCTCATCTTCCCTAATTGTGCTGCCTTCATCCCCTGCGTGGATGTAGCCAAAGGAGGGAGATTCTGGGTGACCTGATTTCTGGGGGGTGGGGACAAGAACAAGGCCTGGACCATGGACTTCGCTGGCCATCTCCCCCAGTTGTGACACAGCTCTTGGGGTGCTGGCAGGAGCTTCTGAATCCTGGTTCTGACAGGCCCAGAGCAGGCTCAGGGTGGATCCCGTCACCTTGCCCTGGGGTGGGGGGATCTCCATGGGAATGGGAGCCAGGAGTTCTGGCATTCAACTCCACAGAGGGGGTGTGACCCAGAACAGTCCGGCCCCTCCCTGGACCAAGGCCTCAAATACCCGCCCATGCCCAGGCACCAGAGCTGTTGTCAGACCAAGTTCTTGTGGTCTGACCTGTGCCACGAACACTCCCAGCCTGGACCTCAGAGCTCTACCTGGATCTAGGTCCCAAGCCTCTGATACCACCCCACCCACATCTCAGGTGAGTCTGGGGTCTGGGCAGAGCCAGGAGCCAGATGGTATTGGGATCCCTCTATTTGGGCTTCAGTTTTCCACGGAGTAAGAGAATGGTCATGAGCCCAGCACACCACCCTAGGGAGACCTAGAACATCGGGGGACGTTGCGCCTTTGCGTCAGCTAGCATTGGGCCGTAGACCCTGCCCTATCCCGCGCCAGGGAGGAGAGAGGTGGCTGGGTGTGTCTGACTCCAGGTCCGCGCTCACGTGAGAGGTGTCTGTCCTTTCCAGCCCTCCTGCTCCTCGCAATGGACGGGCCCCGGGCTCTACTGGCTGCGCTCTGGGCGCTGGGAGCCGCCGGGGCAGCGGCGCTGCGCATTGGAGCCTTCAACATCCAGAGCTTCGGCGACAGCAAAGTGTCAGACCCTGCCTGCGGCAACGTCATCGCGCAAGTGAGGCCGGGGACCTGAGGCGGGGCTGCAGCTGGGCTCCGCAGGCGAATCCGCCGCGCGTGACCCGCTCCCCTGGCTGTTCCCTTCCCAGATCCTGGCTGGCTATGACGTCATGCTCGTGCAGGAGGTGCGAGACCCGGACCTGAGCGCCGTATCTGCGCTTTTGGAGCAGATCAACAGGTGTGGTGGGCAGGGCCCAGCGTCGCAAGCTCCGGCCGGCATCCCAGGCCTCGACGCGGTGCCTTGACCCAGGGCCTGGCCCGTATCTCCTCAGCGTGTCTAGGCACAAGTACAGCTTCGTGAGCAGCGAGCCTCTGGGGCGGGACCAGTACAAGGAAATGTACCTGTTCGTCTACAGGTGAGGGGCGGGGACACGGCGCGCAGGGCAGGAGGTGACCGGCTCAGCGCGCCCACCCGCCTTTTGCCTCCAGGAAGGACTCGGTGTCGGTCGTGGACACGTACCAGTACCCAGACCCGGAGGACTCCTTCAGCCGCGAACCTTTCGTGGTCAAATTCTCAGCCCTCGGCTCGGGTGAGGCCCCGCCCCCGTGGGCCCCGCCCCCTCAGACTCTGTCCTGCCTCTGACACCCACCCCTTCTCGCAGCTGCCAAGGAGTTGGTGCTGGTCCCGCTGCATGCGGCGCCGCACCATGCAGTAGCGGAGATCGACGCTCTCTACGACGTGTACCTGGACGTGATTGACAAGTGGGGCACTGACGTAAGCCCTGCGCCCGCACAGCGCTGGGTCTCCTGAGGTGCGCCCTGGGGGCAGCCACAGAGGCATGGGCTCCGCCAGGCGGGCTCAGACCCTGGTCTCCCCGCAGGACATGTTGTTCCTGGGCGACTTCAATGCCGACTGCAGCTATGTGCGGGAGCAGGACTGGGTGGCCATCCGCCTGCGCAGCAGCGAGGTCTTCAAGTGGCTCATTCCGGACAGCGCCGACACCACAGTGGGCAACTCGGACTGTGCCTATGACCGCATCGTTGTCTGCGGAGCCCGCCTGCGTAAGAGCCTGAAGCCCCAGTCGGCTGCTGTGCATGACTTCCAGGAGGAATTCAGCCTGGACCAGGCTCAGGTGAGTGCTGAGCCCGGCAGGGATGGGGATCCCCAGGCCGCCCTGCGTGGGCAGGAGTAAGGAGCCAGCTCCTTGCTGCCCAGAGCCAGGCCCAGCCTCAGTCAATCTGGCCCTGCCCTCCCTGCACTACTTTCTAGGAAAAGGCTCCTAGAAGCTTTCTGGCTGAGTGGAACAAGTCTGGGATGGCAGGCTAGAATGTCCTTTGTCTCTCCTGAGGTGGGGGTCCCGTCTGTGTCCTCACCCCACCTGCAGACAGCAGCCGGGGTGCACAGCCCAGGCCTCACTTGTTTGCTCCCCCAGATGCAGTGGTTTGTAGACACCCAGTGGGCTCCATCCTGGGGCCCGGTGGGGACAGGAGGGGGGCAGCGCAGTTCTGAGGTGGAGCCTAAGGGAGGGCAGGCCTTGCCCAGCAGGACCTCTGAGGCTCAGCTGCATCTCCTTCCAGGCCCTTGCCATCAGTGACCATTTTCCTGTGGAGGTGACTCTCAAGGTCCACTGACAGGCCCGAGGCCTGGCCAGAGCACACTGCCTGCAGACTGGCCATGAGGTACCGCCCCACAGGACTTCTTCCGGGTGGCAGGCCAACCCCCAACAAGGCCGCAGAGCAGGGTCGGCTGGCCCTGGACAAGTGGCCATTGACATGTATGGGACCACTGAGCCTGTTTCCCTATCTGTAAAATGGGCTACCACCACCTACCTCACAGGAGTATGAGGAGCACCCCAGAGTGCTGGGCATAGCTGTGCTCAATAAATGTGCGTGAGCACTCGGCCAGGACCACATACAGGTTGGCTCAGAGGCCTCTGTGTCCTTTCTTAGCACTCAGCCCTACTGCAGCACAAACCCGTCCTGTAGTCTGGCAGGTCCATTAGGGAACAGGCACAGCCTGGCCTGTCAATTTCACATCTTGCTGGGAACTGCCACACCAAACCACTGAAAATGTTTCCAAGAACTTGTACTGAGTGCAGTGGGGATCAGCAGTTACACACAGGGACAGTGTTGATGTGCAAGGCTAATCTCCCAGCCGGATGTCTCTCCTGTAGGACGCCTCAGGCACTGGTCTGTATCATAGGTCCTGCATTGCCCAGCACTGCAAGGGTTAAGGCCCTGCCCACAGAACTCGCACACCTCCCGGTGTACATCTCTTCCTGGGTAGCGGCAGAGGTGGTCTGTCCCTGGGTAGGTTCCTCCTCAGGGGCCCTGGGCTTGGACAGGACAGTGGCCTTTGTCCCTGGTAAGCCCTGAGGCCTGAGGATAGGGAACAAGCAAAGCTGGGGCACACGGCATAACTGATGGGCTTGATGAAGTTTCTGGTTTTTGAAACATCATATGTCTGGCAGGATTTGGGAACTGTCCTGAATTGTATGGGAGGAAAAGCCTTTGTTTCAAGTTTGAGCAAGTTTTTCTTGCGAAATTTTTCTAAAATAAGATCTAGGATACTCACAGCATAGGACACCTCTCAAGGAATGCCTCCCTTGTCCCTCTCCAAGTTCCCCCGATTTCTCTAAATTGTTATATACACTCCCACTCCCCATCTAAGTGAAATGTGGTGGCCGGAGGGCTTTTCTTGGGGCGGGGGATCTTGTACGGATCATCAGGGACCCTGGCTGCCTGGCTTCCAGCAATCGGACAATCCAGTGATCAGAGATGGGACAGCCCGAGGACTTTATTCATGATTCTTCTTTAGGAAAGGAAATACTCAGTGGTGACAATGCTGAGGTCCAATGCGGCCCCACCTGCCAGTTCATGATTCCCAAACCCAGACACTGCCTACCAACCCCACCCAGCCCACCTGCCAGGCAGAAAAGGCACTGGTGGGTGGTGGTGGGCCTCAGGCACTACCTACAAGGAACAGGGCCTTCTGAGATCAGCAAAACAAAGAGCTGAAAGGACTTTTAAACTGGAAAATACCTACTTTAAAACCCTTAGCGGAGACCAGAGGAGCCCTGAAGGGCGTATAGGCCTAAACCCCTTGTGTGCTGAACTAGCCCTTAGCCTTTCTTTTGTCTGAGCTTTGCTAAGTACATCTGCAGCGACTTCTGGATGGAGTCTCTGGAGATAAAACTGACAAAGTTCTGGATGTCCTCGTCACGCTTTTTCAGCAGGCCGTCAGCTGTGGGCTTTCGCATCATGTTCTTGGTCAGCTGTCGAGCATGGTCTAATGAAAACAGGGTCCACGTATAAAAACCCACTCTTTAAGACAGTGGCATCATTCCCAACCTTCCTAACAGAGTTCCAACAGAAACTCTGGTAGAAAGCTTAGAAGATACAAAGAGAATGAAAAATCACCTGTTCCCACTGCCCACTGACTTCTTTCAAAAACATACAGGATGATACTGTAAAAACTGCCTTTTAAACTTATTTTCACTCAACTATATTATCGAGAATATTTTCCATGTCGCTAAATATCCTTTTACATCATAATTAATGGCTGCACAGTATTCACTCATTTGAATCAGGGGTCGGCCATCTCAGCCTCCCATGACCTGTGAGCTAAGAATGGTTTTTACATTTTTATATTGTTAACAATTTTTAAAAGGTAGTATTTGTCACATGTGAAAATGATACGAAATTCAAATTTCAGTGGCCCTAAGTTTTATCAGAACACCCACATACTCATTAGTTCACGTCCTCTCTGTGGCTGCCTTCGTGCCATGGTTGTGGCAGAGACCATGTAACCCACAAAGCCAGCACTCTACCTGGCTCTTTATAGACAGTCTGCTGATCCTGGCCCTTATCACAGGTGATATAACCAGACCTATGTCTATACACAGACATGCAGGCTGTTTTCAACTGTCTGTGAAGTGGATTGAACAGTGGACCCCAAAAAGATACATGCAAAAAAAAAAAGATGCATAAGTCCTAACCACCCCTCTAGAACCAGTCAGTGCATATGGCCTTATTCGAAAAAGCGTCTTTGCATATGTAATTAAGATGAGATCACCTTGGATTTAGCCAATGACAAATGTCCTTATAAGAGAAAGGAGAAAGATTTGAGATAAAGGAGGAAAAGGCCATGTGAAGATGGAGGCAGAGACAGCAGTGACGTGGTCACAGGCAAAGGATGCTATGAGCCGGCAGACACTGGAGAGGCAGGAAGGAGCCTCCCCTGGAACCTTTGGAGCGAGCGTAGCCCTGCCCACACCTTGACTTTGAATTTCTGGTCTCTGGACTGTGAGAATGCATTTCTGTTTTTTTGTGTTTTTTTTTTAGCTGCGCCATCCTGCCACCTGTTGGCAGCTCAGCAGCAGCTCAGCTTGGGCTGGGCATCGAACCGCTGTTGCTCAGAGCTCAAACCTTTGAGCGAGCTCTTAACCAACTGAGCCACTCGGCCGGCCCACATTTCTGTTGTTTTAAGCACACTCCCACCCCAATTTGTGGTAATTTGTTATAGTGGCCCCAGGACACTAAGTCAGTTTGCATGTCCATGCTGGTCTTACCAGGAGTGCCAGGCTGGGGAAGGCAGAGAGGGGGAGAGGGGAAGGAAGAGGCTTTGCTCGCCCACTAATACGCACAGCTGACACCCCTCTCTGTGTTCCTCACCTGGAATGGCCATCCACTGGGCCAGCACCGAGAGCGCCGTGCTCTGCACCTGGTCCTCAGGCACCAGCCGGTCCACCATGCCCACCTGGAGGGCCTCCGTCGGCGGGAAGAGCAACCCCAGCTGTAGAGCACGCTCCGAGGCTCGGTGCCCAATGGTGTTCACAAGGGTGTCTTTGAACCTGGAATGCAGGCACCCACTCACTTGGGGTTGGGGGCTCAGCCCCGGGCCAAGTAGAGTGAGGGTACAGTCCCTGGCCTTACCAGAAGGGGGCGACGATGCCCAGCAGGGTCTCATTCAGCCCAATGGCATACTTGGGGTTGTCAGCCATAACCCGGTAGTCACAGGTGAGGCTCATCAGGCAGCCTCCGGCAGGGCATGCTCCCTGCAGGGGAAGCAAGACCACCAGGCTCTGGGTGCTTGCTGCTGGTCCCAATCGTATTCCAGAGACCCGGGGTCTTGAGGAATGGCCTGCTGAAGGGGGTGAACTCTTGGAGTGCCCCATGTCCCCAGGGCGCTGCACCAACACTGGGCTGGGTGTGTACAATGGACCCAGGCTTGCCCATCAGCCGGAGTCCCAGGGCACTGGCCGGGCCGGCAGCTCTCTCTGGGCCAGAAAACCACTCTTCTTATCCACCAGCCAGGGTAGCAAGTTGCCTTTCCTTTTACATTTTTTGGGATGCTAAAATGCCAAATGTGCATTTAGCCAGAGCTGTCATGTCACGCCCACAGGCTTGTTGCCATCCCCAGCGGGGTATCTTTGCCCTCAACTCATGTACCTCACTGTCCCAAACAGAGACGGCAGGTCACTGTCAGTTGCCACTGGAGTCTTCCTACCTCTCACCATCCCTCCCCTCCAGCAAGCTCAGGTCCTCCTTGCACCTTACTTGGGTCATCACCACATCTCTTCAGGGCACACTGGTTCCCAAGTCTTAGCTCCACTCCCTTGTCTCAGCGGCCTGCTCCTGCCGTCTCCAGGTGAGGCCAAAGTGGTGTCTCTAAAATGTGGATTCAACCCCCCACTTGCTCCCTGTATAGCCCTCTCACTGGGCTGTGTCAACCATGGGCTCTTGGGTCCTGCTCCCACCCCAGTGAGCAAGGTGACCCCACCTTGTCACCATGTCATGCTGGTCTGTAATAGCATGATTACCTGTGCACATCTGAGGGTCTCCCCAAGGCCCCCTTCCCCTCTGAGGGCTTTCCAAAAGCAGGGCCATGTCCCCCCCCAATCCCACTCCGTTCCGTGACGCCACTCAGGAGTGGGGACACTCACATTGATGGCGGCAACCAGCATCAGGTTGGACAGGTACAGCCGTAGCCACATCTCCTGTACAGCCTTCCAGTACTCGGCGTAGTGCGCTGGGTTCCTCCCGCATATTTCTGTCAGGTCCAGGCCGGCTGAGAAGATCCCGGGGCAGTCCTAGGTGAGCGAGGGAGCCAGGGCCCCATCAGAGTCCACCTCCTAGGGCAATGTGCCCCCAGAACAAGAGGAGCCCACAGGTGCTCAAGGGGCCGCAGGGCTGAGGTCATTCCCAGCCCAGAGCTGGGGCTCCACGGACTCAGCCTCAGTCTCTCTCCGACTTGGTTCCTATGTCCTGGGATGTTCTTCCCTTTCCAAGTTCAAACTGGCAAAAGCAAAAGAGGCAGGCACGGTAGTCCCCCCGACCCCCCCACCCTGCCCAGGGACATGAAGGCACTGGGCTCTGCACACCTGTGTGTGGCAGCCCAGGCAGAGAAACTCAGAGGTGCGTGCAGGACTCGGGGCAGTCTGTGGGGGGCACATGTTGCTATATCCCCACAAGCCAAGCAAGCTGCAGACTGGTGCAGCCTGGGAGGTGCTGCTGTCTGAATGAGGCCAGGGAAGGAAGGGGCAAGGACCATCAAGAAGCCAGACCTCAAGGGGTGGCCGGTTAGCTCAGTTGGTTAGAGTGCAGTGCTCATGATACCAAGGTTGCTGGTTTGATCCCCGCATGGGCCACTGAGCTGCGCCCTCCACAACTAGATTGAAACAACTACTTGACTTGGAGCTGATGGGTCCTGGAAGAACACATTGTTCCCCAATTAAAAAAAAGAAAAAAAGCCAGACCTCTGCCCTGGGCTGGGACATGTGAGACAGAAGCCTGGGCAATGAGCGTGAAGGGATGTGCATCCTGTGCAGATGAACGCCCCAGGTCCTGACACAGCTGCCAAGGAAGGGAGGGGAGCAAACACAGGTTGGGGTCAAGCGCTGCCAGCACAATGGTGCTTTCCAGCAGTGGGCACCAAGTTTTGGGTGTTCAAAGGACTGCTGGCCAAGAACGCAGATGGGAGAGGGATGATTCAGCAGCTTTCATGTGGAAACACCCAGCCCTGGTCCACCAGTGTGGTGGTCACAGCACCTATGAGCAAAGGAGATGTTCCCACAGCTGGGGGCTGGGCCCCCACAGGCTGGCCTGATCTGACGAGAACTGCTGATGGCTACCATATGCTGCTAGTGAGAGCCACCACCCACTGTCTGTGAGGAGCAGGCAGATAAAGTATGGGACAGTCACACTTCACATCCTTAGGCTAAGTGACAAAATCAAGTCGCAGTACAAGGTGTAGAATCTGAACCCCTTTTCTCTCGTACACATATGTGCTTATGTGGGGGCAATACTTGGAGGCTGACCTCTTGTTTCCACGGGACGTGTGCTAGTCCTGTAACTTAAAAAGACCAGAGACGGCAAGATGCACAATTGCTACACCAAGTTTACTGCCCCTCGTGGGCCAGAGACAGACCTGGAAACCAGCCTGATTGCGGGAGAGATGGCAGCAGGGACAGAGTTGCTGTTGTTTTAAGGACATGGCCAGACTTTCCAGTCAGCTTTTCTGCCTTTTTCCTTGTCCTTTTCCCACCATAACCTCCTGGCCCCCTCCCCCCACGCACCCAACATTTTATCAGCACAGATGCCGGGCAGCTTAACAGCACTCATCCACAGTGCTAGCGCTTCAGGAAATCAAAGGCAAAAGGTTCTATTCTGGAAGACAGAAAAAACCACGTGATCCTACCCTGTCAGACAGACCAGAAGGGGTGTGGGGCAGCCTGTTTCTATGACTTAGCAACACGTCTGTAGTGGGCAAAATTGTGTCCCTGAAAAAGACAGGATCTAATCCTCACCCCCAGGACCTGTGAACATGACCTTATTTGGAAATAGGATCTTTGCAGATGTGATCAAGAGGGGGTCATGTTGGAGTAGGGGGGGGTCCCTAAATCCCGTGACTGGAATCCTTCTAAGGAGAGGGAAATTTGGACACAGAAATACAGGGCAGATATGTGAAGATGGAGGAAGAGACTGGAGTGGCGGAGACAAGCGTGGAATATCAGGAGCCGCCAGGAGCTGGAAGAGGCCAAGGAGGAGTCTCTCCTAGGGCCTCCAATAGGAATCAGCCCTGTCGATGCCTTGATTTTGAACTTGTGGCCTCCAGAACTGTGAGAGAATACACTCCTGTTGTTTTAAGCCACTCTGCTTATGTACTCTGTGACACTTTGTGACGCTGGCCACAGGACACTAAAATGATGTCATTCCACACTCATCTACTTGGGACCCACTGGGTGGGCCTTGTGCATGCATGGCAGGCACTCAGTACAGAACATAACACAGAGACATTTGGAGGGAGATCACACGGTAGTGGGGGGAACATGGGTTTTGGAGGGACAAATGCTGGCTCCTCTCCTCCAGGGCCGGAGGCAGCAGGGACCCTCCTGTGTAGTACCCCGGGCCCACACGCACACATGCCAGGGGCCTCAGTAAGTGACGGTTTTTCACCTCTTTCCTTCTGAAGGTACTCTGTTTGGTGACACACAGTTCTCTCATTTTTAGAGCACAATAAAGAAAACGTCATGCTATGAAATGACATCTTAAATGAGTATTTTCACAAACTATTAGGGGTGAAAAGTTCCCAGGCAGTTTTAGCATCTCTGGGCAGCAGCTGTGATTGTCAGAAAAGTTCTCTGGGATTCTAACTGTCACCAACCCCTCAAGAATCTACAACCACGAGTATTAGTCCCACTCTCGGAGCAACACAGAATAATCTCTTTCCCATGGAACGGGGCCAGGCTTTGCTCTGCAAACCCCAGTTGCACAGGACCCACCGGATGTAAGCATCACTCCCAGCCCCTGGGAGGCCCCTGTTGGTCCCTGTCTTTGGCACAGTGATGGTTTCCCCCCCGTCAGAGGCAGGCAGGCTCTCAGAGCTGCAATACCAGGCCACCCCCGGGACAACCTGAGGGATAAAAAAGCAGGTGCACACCCACAGTGAAAGGTCCCAACCCTGGCGGAAAGAGGCTGTGGCCATCTGCTTCCTGCACTTTTACTGACAGCAGGGTAAGACGTCCCCACTGGTCTCTGTAATATGGTGACACTTAGCTTTGGGGGACACTCATGTTGTCTGTGGCTCCTTTTAACTTAGAAGGTGATCCCAGTGCTCTTCCTAACCCAACAAAGGGCCTGTTATGTTGGGTCCACACTCCACCTCCCTACCCTGGTCTTATCTGTGTCTATTATTGCTACCCATGGCGACTGGCAGAGCAGGTGGGCCTGCTGCCCACTGGCGGGAGGCAGGAACACATGAGGTCCCCAGTTCTGTGGCTCTGGGTGTTAACACCAGCCCAGGTTCTGAGGACCACCTGGCTCCCCTTCTCATCAACCACTGCACCTTCTCCCGTCAGGGTCACTGTCGCCTTACAGCCGATTCTTAGACCCCCCCCCCACCCTGTATTAGCCTCTGACCCATTAGTCGAGAGAGTGTCTCGGAAAACTGAGGCCGGATGGAATGATATCTGTAAAGCTCTCTCGGGGGGGCGTCTCGGTCTGACTGGGACCTGATGGAATGATATCAGCTGTCTCCCCTGGGAGGACATGTAATTATGTCTTGGGGCAATGTGGNCTGTCTCCCCTGGGAGGACATGTAATTATGTCTTGGGGCAATGTGGTGGAGTACGAAGGCATAGCATTTGCTGGAGTACATTGGGAAAAGGTCATTGGAAAAGGCCTTAAGGCACACCAGTATACACGGTTAATGACTCACAGCACAGCAGTTTACTTCCTTGAAAAGAATCAATAAAAACCATGCGTCGACCCGGTGGCTCAGTCTATCTCTGAAGGCTGAGTCCCTTGGTCTCGCTCTTAAATCTTACTTTTGTCTCTTGTACTTATTCAATCTGTGCCGCCCCTCTCGTGTCCCATTTGCCCTTGCCACGCAGGACGTGACAGGTCACTCCTAGTCCCACCCTCCTGGGTTCAAAAGACACTGCCTCTTGCCCCTCCCAGGCCTCAGCAATGATACTGCTCCCACAGACTCGTTTGCTGGCTTGTGGGGGGCAATGGTGAAGTTCCCCTCGAGAATTCAGAAGGAAATAGTTTGCCCTCTGAGAACTGCACTGTCAGACCTGCCCAAAGAGGAATGGAGAGCACGGCTTTCAATACGAGCACTGTTACTGGGGCACCCACGGAGGGCACCCTAGGAATCCACTGCTAAGTTTGTGCAGGGTCTACCCTTCATGAATCAGTATGGGCTCACAGTTGTCCCTGCAAAAATGTCACCTGGAAGCCTCTTTTGGGCACCTGCATCTGGGGCCGCCTGGTTATTCCACACCATGTGATGTGCAGAGAGTCTCTGAGTTTGGATTTTGATCTGGTAACAGGTTTGCACTTTGGTCAGGGAACTCGGGGCCTTGGGGATCTAATGAGCACCCACCGAAGTTAAGACAACGCCTCGGAAGGTCTTGTCATTTTCCAGTTTCTCCAGGTTGATGACCAGCTCTGTTAGCAGCTCTAGGCTGAGGCTATTCACTGGGGGGTTCTTGAACGTCATCACAGCGACCCCTAATGTGAAAGAAAACAAAGAGAAAGCTCACCTCCAGCATTGGAAAAGCACCCCCAGTCATCCTGCACCTTCCATCTGGCCAAGTGAAGTTACCTGGGTTTTGGGTTTTTACAACTGAGGTGAGATTCACATAACATAAATCAACCACTGAATCAATTATTCACTGAAAAGTGAACAATTCATGTCCACTAAGTACATTCACAATGTTGTCTCACAACCACTCTCCAGTTCCAGAACGTTTCCATCACCCCAGAAGGAACTCCTGTACTCAACCACCAGTGGTCACCATCCCTCCTGTTCCAGCTCCTGGCAACCGCTCACCTACTTTCTGTTGCTATGGATCTGCCTATTGTGGACATTTCATATAAATGGAATCATATGTGACCATTTGTGTCTGGCTTCTTTCACTTAAGATGTTTTCAAGGTTCACCCATGCCGTAGCGTGTTCCAGTGCTTCATTCCTTTTTAAGGCTGAGTTAATATTCCGTTGTATCCACATGGCATTCGGTCAATCCATTCCTGTGCTGATGGACATGGATTGGTTCCATCTCTTGGCTATTGTGAATAATGCTGCTGCGGACATTCATGTACAAATTTTTTTTTTAATAAAACTTTTTTTTTTTTAAAGATTTTTATTGGGGAATGGGGGAATGGCAACAGCGCTGGGGAACTGGGGGATGGGGAACAGACAAGTTGCTGTCCTTTTGTTCTTCAGTCTAGTTGTGGAGGACGTTGCTTNCACCATCATTGCGCTCTTCCCAGGTGAGGCAGATCAGTCGCCGGCTTCTGGACGGCCACTCACAGCGGCTGCTGGCCGCTCACGCTGGCTGCTGGCTACACACGGTAGCCCATGGCAACCCACTGCAGCAGGGGCTGCAGCCTATGCCGTTGCCAGCGAACCATGGCAGCCCAGCTCCAGCGAACCATGGCAGCCCAGCTCCAGGTCGAGCTGTTGTTAAGCATCTTAGCTGTGGAGGGCAGTGTCACTGGCCCTCATATGTGGGATCCGAACTGGGGCCCTCTGGCATCCCAAGCCAGTTCTTAACCAATGCGCCACTCGGCTGGCCCGGCCTTAGTTTCTTGAGGAGCGAGCCAACTCTGAGAACTAGATGTGCACGGAGGAATACAGTAAGGTGCTCTGGCTCACGCTTATTTCAGGATAGAAGTGGAAAATACTGGGGGTCAGGTGCTCCTGTATTCATTCATTCTTCCAGCTGCAGGGAAAGCAGGAGGGACAGGGCCTGCCCCTGGGGACAGTGCAGTGGCTGGGCCATCTGATCTCACTTCCTGGCCCAAGGACAGACCCTGAGGGCTTTATAAATACCACTGTTTATTTTGGGTGCGTTTCCTTGGTCAGGACCTTGTAAATTTTCCAGACAGTCAACACAAAGCATTCTCTAGGAGAAAGAACTAAGTCCTGAAGGCAACAAAGGTCTCTTTTCTGAGACCTTTGATTTATGAGGAAGAAGTAATTATTAACTGGCTACAGGTATGTATATGTACCTACAAGAAGCAATCAAGACTTCCAGAAGCAAGCTCCCCAAACTTGGTTCAGAAGGATATTTCTGAAGCTGACCCTGGACTGTTGCAGAGCCTGGTGAGGCAGAATTGAGGACACTGGGAGAAAGGTAAGAGGCCAAAGGCGAACATGAGTGAACCAAGAGGAATTTGGATGACCTTGGACATCACGAGGTAAGTAACAACACCCCTGGCACAGGGGAGGCGCTAAATAAATGTTACTTGAATGGACTGTTAAATGGCATCTAAAATCAGCTTCAGTAACAGCACTTAAATGAAAACATTTTTAAAGCACTTTTACTCTGTTACTTCATCCAAGCCTCAGGATGCCTGAAAGCTAACTGGGTCCGGCAATGACGACAGAACTGGACTTGGCTTTCTGACCTGAAACTTGACTTTCTACCATGTTAAGCCAATGAAGCTAGGAAGTTCTTCCGTGGTGGGGTGTGGAAGCACTTTGGTAAAAAATTATCTAAACATTACTGTTTTTCTTGTTTACATAAAATTGACCACTTAAACCATTTTTAAGTGTACGATCCAGTGGCGCTAAGTATATTCACAATGTTGTATAGCCATCACCACCATCCATTCCGATACTTTTAAATGTGTTTTTGCACTTTTTCATATATATTCAAATGTGCCACAGACATGATTCTTTAAGGAATTCCGGTTTTTGTTGGACTTGGAGTTGGGCCTACCCTGAGGCCAGCCCCTCATCACCAGGCTCAGGCAGCCCCAAGTCAGAGAGAGGAGCTAAACAAGAAAACTGAACCAAGGAATGTGGTGCCCTGATACTGTTCCAGGTGTGGGCAACAGTGTGGAACCTGTGTATGTGTTTGGGGGTAAAAAGGGATGGCTTCCCCTAACCACACCAGGGCCTCCATCTTGAAAGGCTGAGGCCTAGATGGCAGCATGTCCTAAAATCTAAAACTTTGCCCGTCTCTGATCCCAAGCCTTCTCAGGACTCCGTTCTGGAGTGCTCTCTGGTAGAAAAAGCATAGGTTTCTCTTTCAAAAGTGGCTTTTCTACCTTTTCTAGCCCCTTTGGAGATAGACGTGTTCTGATGGGTGGTGGTGGTGTTAGGAGTGATTCCACTTGTGGCTCCTGGCTTTAATTGGGAAAATGCCTGCTGGTTCTTCCTGAAAGTGGCCTGAGGTGACCTCTGAAAATGGTTCACTATTCGCTTGACCCAGAAAATCCCACAAAATCATGTAAATTGAGGGGTTCATCTACGGGTTCATTTTAAGAACACTCGTGAAACTGCCCAGGCCATCAAGGGTATGCATATCCAAAAAGCCAGCAAGTATCTAAAGGATGTCACATTACAAAAGCAATGTGTGCCATTCCGTCATTACAATGTTGGAGTTGGGAGGTGTGCCCAGGCCAAACAGTGGGGTTGGAGGCAGGGTCGGTGGCCCAAAAAGCATGCCCCATATGCAGTTCATTGTTTTTATTCTCCCCCAGCTCCAAACCCAGAACTGGAATCCAGACTCATGAAAGTTTTTGAATTTACAAAGGCCAGAAGAAAAAGCCCAATTTTAAAGTTAGTTCCTTTTGATCTTAGAGCTTAAGGGTCACATGTTTTTACTGCACATGCTTAAAAATGCAGAGAGTAATGCTGAACTTAAGGGTTTAGAGGTAGACTCTCTGGTTATTGAATACTTCCAAGAATAAAGCTCCCAAAATGCAGCACAGACCTCATGAGCTCTCCCTGCCACATTGCGATGATCCTAACTGAAAAAGAACAAATTGTTCCTAAACCAGAAAAACAGGAAGCACAGAAGTAAAAGATCTCCCAGAAGAAACTTGAAGAAACAAAAACTTATGGCCCGGGAGTAAATTCAGCATCAAATAAACGCTAATAAAAGTAAAAGCAGGAAAAAAAATAAGGAAGAAAAAACCCTGCTGGGTTCTGCACCATGTGGGAATAGTAAAAAAAAATTAAAATATTTTATACTAAAATACTTTCAATTTCATAGCTTATATAAAGGAACACATCCCCCAAACTTTAAAAAAAACAGGAATATTTTTATCTTCAAAATGAACTGGGGGAAAAAAACCAAACATTTAAACCACCGTGGTTGATGACCCTTAAGCTCTAAGATCAAAAGGAACTTTAAAATTGGGCTTTTTCTTGTGGCCTTTGTAAATTCAAAAACTTTCATGAGTCTGGATTCCAGTTCTGGGTTTGGAGGTGGGGGAGAATAATAACAATGAACTGCATATGGGGCATGCTCTGGGGCCAGCACCGGCCAGCATTATTCAATTTCACCTTTCTTACCCCTTGGCAGCGGGCACTGGCAAAATAAAACGCTCAGGAAGTTGGGTAACTATGGCCCGTCAGGCGCCCCCGCACTATCGCCAACTTCTGAAAGCGCGCGGGCCAATGCATGGGGCGGGTAAGGCCCGGCGTGCGGCAGGCCCGGGCTCCAGAGCTCGAGGACGCCGGGAACGCTTACCTGCGGCTGAGGCCGGCTCCACCAGCACCCTCTGGCTCCCAAAGCGCTGCGTGCTGACCTCGACGCCGCCTACCGGCTCCATCCACCCGAGGGCTGAATCCCGGAGCCGGGCCCCTGCGAACCGCAGCGCGAAGTCTGTTAGTCCGCGTACCCTCCCCGACCCGACCTGTCGCCCCCAACCCGTCAGTCCACCAGCCGGAGGTCACGCACACGGGCGAAGCAGAGCGCGCGTTGGGATTCGTACCACCGCCGTCAACGCCATCTTGACCACAGTCGGTCGGGGTCACGGCGCCAGAGTGTCTTCGCTGCTCGGGGCGGGGCGAGGCGGATGACGGCCTCCGCCCCTGTCGGCCACGCCCCCACCACAGTAACCAGAGCTTAAATCCTCAGAACTCAGGGCCTCAGTCTACTCCTACTGGAGGCCTGAGCAGCCGCACGCTGCGTGGCTAACCAGGTGCAATGGGCCCAGCCGAGGGCTTCACAGAGCAGGGCACTGGGGCTGCGAGGTGGAGGGTTGTCCGACCTGGAGTGGGCTGCCTGTTCAGGCCAGGCCCTTTCCCCAAGCCCCACAGTATAGACCGGCACTCCCCTTCCACCCACGGCTGCACCCATGGGAGGCTGGCATGCTTCCCCAACCAGGCAAAGATCGTTAACCAGGCATGAGTGTTGACCTGGGAGCGGCTGTACTGAAGACACAGACGTCATGGAGCACAAGTGCCAGAGAGGGTTTAAGGGGTAAAAAGGGACTTGGGAGACCCTGGCAAGATTACACCAGGGCTGCTTCTAAAACTCTGCCACCCCTGAAGAAATGCGACTAATGAAAAGGATGCTACACAGGGAGGGTTGATGGGAGCCAAGGGCTGCCTGAAGTGTGAGCTCTGCCTCCTGCCTGTGGTGGGAAAGGGAATCAAGACTGGTAGTTCAGTCACAGGGCTTGGGGGCAGCATAGCCTAGTGACTAGGTCTGACAATTAAGTTTGCTAACTTGCCACCGTGTGCTTACATTGGCAGCCCTGTACAAACAGCTTGGTAAGGTTTCATAAACTTGGTGTATCACCTCATAGCTATTTGTATTGATGTATGGCGGTGTCTTGCTGAGTGGCGTTCCTTATTGTTGCGTGTTTTTGTGTGCAGTTGCGAAAATGTCTGAGCTTGAATTAGAACAAACATTAAATTTGTTAAACTTGGCAAGAGTGGAAGTGAAATCAGGGACATGTTTGCCCAAGTTTATGGGAAGAAAACGGCTGTGTAGAAATGAATTAAATGCTTTTCTGAGGGGAGAGAACATGTCACTGATGGAGGTCAGGGCGGCCAGTAATGAGCAGAACTGACCAACATTGCAAAAATCCATCGAATCGTGTGTCAAAATCACCAGCTGACTGTGAGAAGCATAGACCAAGTAAACATCGATAAACAGGGAAATCTTAACTGAAAATCTTGGCATGTGAAAGGTGTGTGCAAAAATAGTCCCGAAACTCTTGCATCACAATGCACCAGTTCACACAGCACTTTCTGTGAGGGAGTTTTTAGCTAGTAAACAAATAACTATTGGGTTGTCGGCAAAGTCATGACATACTTTTGCAACTAAAAAATACGTTATGACTTTTCCAATAACCCAATATATTAGAACACCCTCCCTACTCATCTGATCTGGCCCTTAATGACTTCTTTATTCAAAGATAAAGGAAATACTGAAAGGAAGGCATTTTGATGACATTCAGGACATCAAGGATAATACAACAGCTCTGATGGCCACTCCAGAAAAAGTTCCAAAATTGCTTTGAAGGGTGGACTAGGCACTGGCATCAGTGCATAGCTTCCAAAAGTGAGTACTTCGAAGGTGACCGTAGTGATATTCAGCAATGAGGTACGTAGCACTTCTAGGATGAGTTCGTGAACTTAATTGTCAGACCTTGTAAGAGCGCCCACCTTCCCCCAAAGCCTGGCAGGACTAGTGCCACCTCTTCCACAAAAAAAGGGAAACTGTGATTGTATTTGCTTGATCCTGCATGGAAAAACACTGAAAAGATAACCAAGAAACAAATGAAGTTGACTACCCACCCAGGCAGGTGGAATTAAGTGCAGCATGGGCAGCAAGCCTTTGCACTGCCAGGCAGCACATGGTCTTGTTCTGACCATTCAGTTTGAACACCGGGCACAGTAAGGGTCAGGTAGTGTCAAGCGATCAAATATGTTTGTTCTTTAAAACCTTAGGTATTCCCAATTCTTTCTTGTGGCACAAACCAATTTTTGAGGAGGAAAAATGTTTTCCACCCGTAACTAATATAGTAGCAGCAAATGTGATCCATGTTTTCTGTCAGGCAGAATTTGAAGCTCTTAGGAATAGAAAGGTGATGAAACATCTCTTATATTTACCTGCAGGAGTAACCCAATACTCAAGTACACTGACCAGTGTTCTCTTGGTTGAAAGATTTTATGTGTGACTTTGGAAATGAAACCAAAAGTCAGCTCTTAGCCAGCCATGTGCTTTTAATTCCCTCCCCAATGAAGCTATCTTTGGGACCAAGGGACAGGAAGGAGGCCGTGAACCCAACACTCAATCTGCATTCTAATCCTAGGTTTATTCTAGTCCTTTCACTCTACACAATAAAGTACAAACACATTGTCTAAAATGCTACAAAGTTACAAAAAAACAACAGAAAATTTATAGTACTGACTGTACAATAAAAGCCAAAAAAAGCAATGTACATGTTGCCAAGGAAACCTGAAAGACCACCATGAATAACAGCCATGGGGGTAGGGTGCAGGTGGGTCTGTGGTGACCCTGCAGAGCTAATTCTCAACTTGCTCACCAATTTCAAAGGACACACTGGGCGTGGGTGCACAAGGACATGTAAAAACAGAACCATATATGGTAACTAACATGGGGTATTTGACCCTAGAGGTCAGATGGACTCAAGCAGGGGAGCAGGGCCAGGTGATCAGGAGTGGCAGCTGCATGGAAGCATGCCCTTTCCTGAAGGATCCCACAGGCCACCAGGCTGGCCCCAGGTCATCAGTGGAATGGAAAAATGTGCTCCCAGGCTGGGGCTGCCCTGCCACCGCCCTGCTCATTCCTGCTGGCTTCACCACTGAACTGACTCTCTCAGGGACTGGAAACGTGGAGCTTTCTAGCCAGGTAAGTGGAAGGCATCTTTGTAGGCACAACCCCAAACCAACACCACTTCTGCAGCCGAACTTGGCCTTCAGAGGAAATGTCTCAATGCTGCCTTTGAAGTCTGCCCCTGAGTGAGGATTTCTTTCCTACTGACCCTCCTTCGGCTAGAAAAATGACAGAACTGAGCTGGATGGGATATAAGTTACAGGGGGCAGAGCTTCAGTGGCCTGCTTATCGGGAGGAATTGGAACTGGAGCGACTCCTGTGTCGGCGGCGGCCGGGCGAACGGGATCGCCGGCGCACGGGGGACCTGCGCCTTGGGGAACGTGACCTGTGGGAAGAGGAAAAACCACATCAGACACCAAAGCAAACACCACGGGAGCAGCTCTGCATCTCTGACTGGAGGGGTAAAGCTGTCTCATTTTTTTTTAATTAAAATTTATTGGGTGACGGGCTGGCCCAGTGGCTCAGTTGGTTAAGAGCTTGCTGAAGAGTGCGAGCTCTGAGCAACAGAGTTGCTGGTTTAATTCCCACATGGGCCAGTGAGCTGCGCCCAAGCTGAGCTGCCAACAGGTGGCAGGATGGCTCAGCTGATGAGCTCGTGCTCCTCACAACAACACTGCCTGTTTGAGATGGTGGGCGTACCGGCAACTGAAGACTGAACTTGACACCTTCAGCTGAGCTGCCGCCTGGGTGGCTCATGGAATAGAGCGCGCACTCTAAACAAGGCTGCTGGTTCGACTCCCGCATGGGATGGTGGCTACGCCCACCCGCAACTAATTGAACAAAGCACCTTGAGCTGAGTGGCGCAACGGCTTGGAGCTGAGCTTGTTGCACCCTCCACAACTAAGATCGAAGGACAGCAACTTGGCTGTTCCCCTTCCCCAATAAAATCTTAAAAAAAAAAAATAAATTATTGGGTGACAATGGTTAGTAAAATTAGACAGGTTTCAAGTGTACATTTCTGTGATACATCATCTATGTATCACCTTGTGTGTTCACTAGAGCTGTCTTCTTTCAGGAACAATTCTGTACAGTTTCGCGGTTCTACTGTCAGGACAGCTGCCTCTGTATGGATGGCACTGACACAGAGCCCTTGGGAAGGAAATGGATGGTCTCCATCTAGTATTGGTACAACCTGCAGAGCTGCACCTTCTGCCTGACCCTCGCTCCAGCAGTTGCCCTTCTTTTCCTTCTCCCAAGATGGCACGAACACAATGAGTTTCAAAGGCCACCCACGCCAACACTACCTTCCCACTCCCATCATGGTGGTGGTGGGTGTGCGCTCGCACACATGGGGCTTGGTAAATCATCATCATTGCATTGTGTTGTAAATAAAACAAACCCAAGGGAGGGGGATTGTTACTTTGTGAGGGGTGTAAATGATAATTATTGCATTGTTCTGTACACCTGAAACTAATAATAAAAAATAAAATAAAATAAAACAAACCCAAACTGGACCCAGTTAGCCCTGTGAGACCCCAAATTGAGTCACCTTCTCCTCATGCGTGGGGGTGACCGGCGCCACATGGGAGGCGGTGGAAGCATTCTCCTGGGAGGGCTGAATCGCCTGGGGGGCGGCCTAGGCCAGGGGGCCAGCACAGCAGTGGCAGTGATTTCCTGGCCATCAATTTGTCCTGTTGAAAAAAGGATCAAGTCACAAAATATCTAAGCAGCACCTCCCCTTGGCCAGGCCACATAGCAGATGTAGGCACACCATGGAAAGTAAGACAGGCATGGACTTAGGAACAAGGACAAACTATGCTCACCATAGAAATAACCACATAATTACTATTATTGCAAGTTTCATTAAGAAAACTCTTGGGGGACATGGAACCTAACTGGGGACTCAACCTTGATTCATTGGGACAGTGTCACCCAGAGAAAATGCCATTCAAGTTGATACCCAAACAACATGCTGGAATCGCTATGTGAGGAGAAGGGCTGTGCCCTGGCCCTGAGTTGGAATGTGGTATTAGCACTTGAGCTTCCTTCTCGAGAAAAAATGGGAAGGGGGCAGGCAAGAGGAGAGGGAAGACCCATTAGGGAGTTTCACAAGGACTGAGATCGGGTAAAACCCAAGAACTCAAGGGATAACTGAGATGTAAAAATCACCAGAACTAGGTGATGGATTGGATGGAGTGGGGGTGGGGGGCAAGGGAAGAGACGATCAGCACCAGGTTTTGGTTGAGCTCTGCTCTCCTA